GTCTTCAAAGTGAGACTTAAGATCCTTAATCAAGGCTACTTTTCATTTGTTCGTGCCAGAGGTCGTCCTAAAAAACATTAGTAAGAACTTCCCATTTTAACGCGCAAGGGAGGGAGAGCTAATGGCATACCTAATTTTATTAAATTTTTTATCACTGGATGTTCCGCAATAGGGGGTGTGGCGTCCGAATAATGGCTACCCCTATAGTAAAACCTTTACAGACGACGCCTAATTTTAGATTGACTGAAAATACAACCATACTTGGCCACCGACATGGCAAGAATTTTTTAACCAAATCAGATTTTTTCCATAAAAAAATAGAAAATAATCTACACCTGAACTATAGAAAATGGTGCATTTCATTGCTTTTATTACACAGAATTCCTTCATTGGAAAACACGCATTCAGAACTGCCCGTGAATTTTGACCAGCCATGCATGTTACGTACGTTGATCAGAACTGCCTATTGTGGAAACTGGGAGGCGATTGGACGACCCCTTCAGACCAAAACTGTGGCGAAAACGTCAAATATCAATATCCTCTTTGCTCTTAGGAACGACTCGGTTTGCACACAGCGCGCAAAAGATGAGATACAGCTCCCGAATGCTTGCGAACAGCCCACGGAGATCCTGACTATTTAATATCCTCGACAAATGAAACGAAAATTTATTTTCTTAAAACGAAACAAATGTTTAAAACTATCGTGTAACCTTTTTTTTTTACTATTTTTGGCTTCGTTCTTGGAATCATATGAGAACTTACTAACACATTCAAAAATCGTATGCATTTTCACTTCATTGACCGACATTGTTCTGGACAGTATCTTGTCTCTAATCAGTTTAATTTTGCATGTGAACTGTGGCAATATTTAAAATTTTATGTGATGTCTTTCAATATAATTGTGAAAATATTCACGATCTACTTTCAAACACCGCAGATTTTCTCAGGGTACTTCCGTTTCTCCTGTAGTAACATTGTTCCATTAGGAATGAACTTTACTGAACAGCTAAGAAAAACTGATAGAACTATCCAGTATAATAAAGTTTATAGTTCAGTTTAGGTTTCCTCCTGTAGTAACACTGGATCAATAAGAGATGATCCTTACTGGGTCTCTAGGTAGAACAGTTTAGAACTGATACAACTATCCAACTGATATAAATAAAGTTAGTTTAGTTTAGGTTTCCTCCTGTAGTAACACTGGATCCTTATCTGGACTTCTAGGAAGAACAGTTTAGAACTGATAGAGCTATCCAGTATAAATAAAGTTAGTTTAGTTTAGGTTTCCTCCTGTAGTAACACTGGATCAATAAGAGATGATCCTTACTGGGTCTCTAGGTAGAACAGTTTAGAACTGATACAACCCTCCAACTGATATAAATAAAGTTAGTTTAGTTTAGGTTTCCTCCTGTAGTAACACTGGATCCTTATCTGGACCTCTAGGAAGAACAGTTTAGAACTGATAGAGCTATCCAGTATAAATAAAGTTAGTTTAGTTTAGGTTTCCTCCTGTAATAACACTGGATCAATAAGAGATGATCCTTACTGGGTCTCTAGGTAGAACAGTTTAGAACTGATAGAACTATCCAACTGATATAAATAAAGTTAGTTTAGTTTAGGTTTCCTCCTGTAGTAACACTGGATCCTTATCTGGACCTCTAGGGAGAACAGATGATCCTTACTGGACCTCTAGGGAGAACAGTAAAGAACTGATAGAGCTATTCAGTGTAAATAAAGTTAGTTTAGTTTAGGTTTCCTCCTGCAGTAACACTGGATCACTAAGAGATGATTCTTAATGAATCTTAATGATTATAGAGCTAAACGAGATACAGTCTGCTTTCGCAGACTAGTATAAATGAAGTATAGTTTAGTTCAGATTTCCTTCCATAGCATAAACACTGGATCAATTAGGAATGGCATTCATTACACCTCTGGGAAGAACATAAATAGAGTGCTAGTTTAATTTACGTTATTTAAGTAAGTCAGTGTAAGTAATATCATGTTTTCAGTCATTGCTTGCAAGTTGGAACAAACTTGAATTGCATATGCGAACTGCTTTTTAATTTTAGCACGTCTGAAAAAATTGTTCGTATGTGAAGTTGAAGGTCGAGTGCAATTTAAGGTCTTTGTTTGAAAACTCGCCAAATAGCATGAAATTGAAACAAGAAATAATCTAAGAGTATATCGCTAATGAAATATCGTCCATGGTGATGCGCCTTTTAAACAAAAGCATGAAGCACAATTATGATTCAAAGATTTTTTTTCGCTCTTTGGGGCTTCATTGATAAATGTCGCCCGAATATTTTGTGAAGTTTTTGTCATTCTTGTATAGTCCAGTTTCCTGGCGGAGGAAGTTTAAGAAGTGCATGTATTGCAATTAATATTTTACGCCAAAGGAAAGTCCTTGTGAACCCAGTAACAATTTGGGGGCGTTGATAATGATTAATCACGTGTGGGTGTAGGAGAAAGAGATTACATAACGACGCTGAAGTACAATTATGATTGTACTCGCGATATTCACTCCACCTTGTTTTGTCGAAATGTTTGAAACGAAACGTTTTAAGCGATGTATATATGTTGTCAAGGCGGTAGGACTATGTTGTCGGTTGTTGAAAGGTGGGTTAGCGCTAACTCTGGGTTAAAATTTAACATCGCTGTCTTAGTTTGTATACTTCTGCGCGTCTGTTTATTTCAAAACTTCAGAGAAGTAAACTCCTATCGATCCAAACAAGATCTCCGAAGAAATATTTGCAAATGTACAGCCAAGCTATCAGGAAGTTTGCTTTGAATTTTACTTTAACCTAGGGTTAGGCTAACCCATACAGCTCTGAACAACTGGGCCGGTTGTTCAAAGTCCGATTAGCGCTAACCCTGGGTTAAATTTAACCTGCTGTTTATGTATTTCTGCGTAATCATTCGTTTCAAAACTTTAGAAAAGAAAACCTCTATTGAACCAGAAAGGATTTCTGGAAAAACATGTACAACTTAATTGTGAGCCGTTGGAAATTTTAATTCGTACATTTGTGTTAACCCAGGGTTAGGCTAACCGGCTTTTGAACAACCGGCCCCAGGCTCCCGGGGTCGCGCGAAAGGCGATCAGGTTAACATAAAATTCAAAGCAAACTTCACTGGAAGCTTGTTTACAACTAATTGGACAAATGATTCTTCACAAATCTTGTCTGGATCGATAGTATCTTTCTGAAGTTTTGAAATGATCAGAAGTGCAGAAATACACAAACTAAAACAGCTGGTTAAATTTTAACCGAGGATTAGCGCCAACCCACCTTTGAACGACCAGCCCCTGGCTATTTTCGAACGTTGTCAAAATCCTTAGATTGTAGTTAGCCTATATATACTACTAAACTAAATCAAGTGAATATATACATGTTCAATTAATGGCATTTTTATTGACAAGCCGTTGTTAATTATCGAGACGACTAGTGAAAAATATAAACGATTTAATGTATTATTTACAGTGGAAGCATGAAAAAAGTATAAGCAAGAAAGGAACAACTTATATAAACGGTCTCTCTTTATAAAATACAGCAATTTGAAAGAGCACTTTGATAGGAACGCCTTATATTAATCACGTGTATTCTGTGGCGAAGCTAGTCAGAAGAAATCTAAAATGCATTTCTCTGCAAATTCCGCATTCTACGAACACTGTAAAGAAAACCTTACATCTTTCGCATGGGAACTTGCATGACTCAGGATAATTTTAGGTTAAGTTCGACTCGAGGGGCCAAAGCATGATGTTCTTATTATGAATTTATGTAGAGGTGTTTGTTTTTCATCAGAGCTGCGTAACTTTTAACTTTTTCACTTGGATCTGTCGTTATGAACATCGAACCGTGTCGAGCTATAAACGTTACACTTCATGACAATAAGGGCCCTTCTTCATTAGGAGATATTAATATGAAATTACATAGAATTAAGCCTAATTAAAAACCTTACTATAATTTGCTATCATAATATATAACACTTCAATCTTTCAGTCATATCAATCGCGTCATTCACAGCTCTTTCACAATGACATACGTCTTTTCAATAAACAGTAAACACTATTATAGTAGAGAATTAGACAATCATTCTGAGCAATTCTGAGCATCTGTCTTTCTGACTATAAAGTTAATTAAAGGTAAAACGTAGTCCATTTTAATTAATGATTTAATCGGAGAAGAATTAGACAATCGTTGAACATCATACCCAGGGCCTTTGCGCGGTTAAAAGGCTCTGGTAAAGCTTAACTGAAAATGACAATAATTTTTTAATTATTCTTATTAACTCAGTCCTCCAATATAATTGTCTTTCAGAATAGTAACATTTAAATGTATAAATTAATATTTAAATTAATGTTATATTAGTACATTTTAAAGTGAAATAGCAATAAAAATAAACTTTATTTGGAGGAAAGATTCAGTATATATTTCAAAACCCTTTTACAGATTTTCTTTGGGTAGAAAAGATATTGCATTTCATTTCAAGAAAAATCGTTATTTTATTTTATAAATTATATTTTATTGAGGCAATCATCTCCTTTCGACAATAATTTGAATACATCACAATCGTGTATATATTTAATAAATAATCCAGTATATAATGACAATTCACTCATTCGTTTCTCTCGCAATAATATCCTCCTAAATGAGAGGTTGATTTCTTGGGACAGTCGACGCAGATATTTTTCCATCTTATAAAATGTTGGTTACCCTTGCGACACACGTAACTGCACGGTTCCCTCCGTGGGTTCGAGTACCATATTCAGATTTACATTTAATGCTTTTCTCATGAGTCATTAACAATGATACCTGCAACAAAGATTTTTACATATATTATGTCTTAAGACTATACATAGATAGTTCTTCTGGCTCCATTACTTCAGACAAGAATGCTCCTGGTGCTAGCCATGTTTCCCGTGCAAAGGTGGGCAAACCAGCAAGCATCGTTTCCTAGCCTGCATGTTTCCTGAAGGTGGGCAAACCAGGGAACAGTGTTTCCTAGCCATGTTTCCTGAAGGTGGACAAAACAGGAAACATTGTTTTCTAGCCATGTTTCCTGAAGGTGGACAAACCAGGAAACATTGTTTCCTAGCCATGTTTCCTGAAGGTGGGCAAACTAGTAAGCATTGTTTCCTAGCCATGTTTCCTGAAGGTGGACAAACCAAGTATGTTAGTTAAGTCCGAGGGTTTAGTAAGATTAAGTGTGTTATCAACATATCGTTTATAGAATTTGATCGTACCAGAGTTTATTAGTGGTTTAATTAATTCTTCAAATTCAGTCATGATTATATTTATATGAGCAAGAGTGGGACCAAGCGGCGAACCCATCGAAACGCCATCAGTTTGTCTGTAAAGGTCAAGGGTTTTATGCTCGTGCTGGTTTTAGTCGAGACAGGTCTCATGTTATCGCATTCATCTTCATCTTGTGTCTTTGTTAACTATTTTGAACTTTTGCGTTTGTTGTCTAATGCAAGTTGTTTATCGTCAAAGTCAAGAAAATTGCATGCTAAAGCCTTGATCTTCTGTTGTTTAATAAAGTCATCAGGGAGTGCGTTTTGTCGTCTAAGTTGGTCCCATATAGATTTGGTTATAGACAAGTCTGATCAAAGAAGCACTTGCCATTAGACGCCTTAAACCTGAACTTAATCATGGAACTATAAAGGCATCAAAAGAACTTATAATATTTACCTAATCGTTAATACTGTACATATCAAATTACTTGATCTTCACTATATGTATATATATACATATATATATATATATATATATATATATATATATATATATATATATATATATATATATATATATATATATATATATATATATATACCGGTATATATATAGTTTTTCGTTTTACCTCAAAAAACCACAACAGTCTGTTTCATCCGTATAGGAATCATCAGACCACCTGATGATTCCTATACGGATGAAACAAACTGTTGTGGTTTTTTGAGGTAAAACGAAAAACTATATTACGCTCTATCTATATGGTATTGAGCACTGTTTGTGTTTCGTAAACCAAAATCTTAAGCTATATATATAGATATATAGATATATAGATATATAGATATATAGATATATAGATATCTTTACAATATCGACGATATATATATATATATCATCACAATGATGACTGAATCTTAGACTTAGTCAAAAGCTAGAACGATTAAAATGTTTATTTTCGGAGTTACTGTTGTTTTATATGTTACTCACTACAGGAGGAAACCTAAACTAAACTAACTTTATTTATACTGGCTATCTCTACCAGTTAAACTGATTATTTCTCCCTAGAATGGATAGGTTTTTAACCAAATTTTAAAAATATATTCCCAGATTACTCTGTTCTTGGTTCTTGTGGCCTAGACTACGAAGGACTAGAAGAAAACAAATACAAAAACACCGCAATACGCAGCGATCAGGTCGCCTGTCTTCACCCAGTGGACGGCAAGTGTCCTCATGGGATGTTGAGGGTTGATTCGGAAGAGGAAGGGAGAAAAGCGTGTGATGTGAGGCGTTTTCAATCACACGTGGGATACGAACTGACAGATAAAAAGGATCCACGTGATCCAAGATTTTGTCCTATTTCTATTAACTGTGGTGGACCTCAAGGTACAGAAATGATTTAGTAAACACTACTAGAGAAACCTGGATGCCAGATGGTTGAGTTAGGGACGTCGCGAAGTGGTTTAAGCAGGGCCGGTGCGTGTATTTTAAACAGGGTGTGTGTGTACTTTCGCAAGCTATTTTCACGGTTGTAACCCACAGAATCGTTCACAGAGACGTTTTAAGATCGAAATTGGGCGAAAAATGTCATTTACAACAATATATTCGCGTAAGCAGAGCAATAAAAAACAGCCTCCTGAGGCGGGCCAGCCCGGGTCTTTGTGTTTACTAATGTGGGGGAATTTCCAGCTCGGTCAGTCGAGATCTCGCTTTTAATAGGTGAGCCAGCTTGGTTTTCCATTTCAAGGGTGGGTTGACTACAAAATTTTTGTAGTTCGCTATAACTACAGCTACTTCAAAAATATGTAGTCAGCTACAACTACTGCTATAGCTACTTTTGAACAAAGGTATAGTTCGCTACTGACTACAGCTACTGCTTAAAAATTGTAGCAAACTATTTCGCTATTTCGCTACACTATATTTTTTAGTTTTACTATATTTGGAGCATCTACTAACTCAGGCAGTAATGTAATCTATAACAAATCGACTCAGTACGAGTCGCAACAGTAAACACAAAGCAACATTTTTGTAAGCACTACAGTGTTCAGGAGTGCAATTGAGTACTGATTTTAAACCGAAACCGTGTCTCAATATCATGTTATTCTATCAAGTTGCTAACAATTAGTTTAAAAAGTAGCGAATAGCGATTCGCTGTTTGAAAAGTAGTCAACTACTTGGCTACTTTTAGGCAAAATGTAGTTCGCTATAACTACAACTACTGTTTTAAAAAAGTAGTCAAAAACTACTGGCTACTAATTGAAAATTGTAGTTCGCTACAGTAGCGAACTACAACTACTTCGCTACAACCCACCCTTGACAATTTAAAAATAGTTATCAAGTACAAAATGCTATTGCTCTATGACGACTTTCAGTTATATTTTAGGTCAAGGAATCGCCATGTGCCGGAGGGTTCACCGGAGCAAAAGCAGATTTGTAAATTACAAAACTTTATCTTTGACTGAAAAGTCGACTCAAAATTGCTGTGTTGATAAATACTGCAATAAAATATGTGATATTGTATTATGTAGTTCAGTGGCCACGATAGTCAGTACTCGCAGTTATAACATTGTTGACTTAATTTCTTATTACTAAAATATCAATTTTATTCTTAAATTTCCTATATATTTCGTACACAATCTAAAGTAAAATATACCGGGCTCTAGGCTGTTTTCACTAAAGGTCCAGCAAGGGTTATCTCTTCCGTTTTAATTGGCGGCCAGTGTTACTTTACGGGAGAAAACCTCAGCAAACTGATTGTATTTGGTCATGATACTTATATCCACCTTTCCTAGACATCCAGTATACTATAATGGTCTTCTCTTATTCATCCAGTGTTACTACATACCTCTAAATACATGTGATGGTATTGGTTTCCATTACCTTCCTAATAGCGAGACAGAATTCTACTGTACATTCTATCTTTTTATTCAATTAGTAATTTCATAAATAAAATTTAAAAGGATTTACAGTAAACTTTTCCGCGAAAGATATGTTTTTATATGAAAGATGCTTAACTGGAAAATTGTCTACAGACGCAAAATGTGAAAATGAACGTTTATGTATAGACCGGCGTTATTTGGTCCTCTTTCTGCGTCAAAATTCTGGTAATATCGCAGGATATGTTAATTATGCCGTATTCATTTCAATTTGTGAGGTCAGTGGTAGATGCTGTATATGGAGATAGTTACCAAATATGGCAAACACGTTGTTCGAATGCTCGACCTTTCTTCTGTCCGCCATTTTGAGTTCAGCGAAAGTTGGCGAGAGAAAAATCCAGATTTTCAACCAAAAATGGGTGTTGATGTTGCAACTACTACACCAGGCGATGGTAAATAGTTCATTATATAGTCCATAAGTCAAATATTGCCGTTATTTAGTTGCCTATTTTGTTGCATGCTATAAAACATGTAGAAAGACTAAATAGCATTATAACAGTTTTTTATATATAAATACCATCCGGGGGTCATGACATAATTTTCTTAATTTTGTTTCAGGAAAAACATATGCCAAGACAGGGCAGACAGTTGTTGTGCATTATACCGGTATTAATGTAAATATTGTAGATTCAAAAATGTTAAAACAGTATACAGATTGTTACATTTTGTGTTACAGTTTTGACTTCCTGTACAAATAAAGTGTTGCAATTTGATTATTAGCCATGGGTCGAATTCCGACACTGTTCCCCAGAGCTTTTTGTCCGATACAGTAATACAACATTCGTAGTTGTTTGGACAATAATTTTGCCTGAACCTTGCCTGAACCTTGCCCGCACCCCAGACTGTAAAGTATTATTTTTGCGTGGGGAACTTTTCCGTCGTATTAAAATGGCAGAACATTTGAGAATGGTAGCATAACTTCCATTTCCTTCATGTAAGCTGCCACCAAGGTTGGCGTCAAGTGGCGAAAATTAAAAAATTTGCAGTATCTAGATCGTATGAAATGGCATTTTCATAGTTTTCTCTACCACTTTTCGCAAGGCCCGACATGTAAAAGTAAATCATTCAAAAATAAATCATTAGTTCATCAGAAATATGCAGATTTTGTAGGATTTTGTTGAAAATGTGTGGACAGAAATTCAGCTAAAATTTCTCCTGTGCAAACTTTACAGTATGGCCCGCACCTAACTAATGACATTTGTATCATGTCATCCTGAAAGCGATGAAACTGATATCGCCACATCCCGATTATGATAACCTATTTATTATATACTTGTGCCTTTAGTAGGGTCAAAATTTATTCAAAATTGCTTCCCCAATGCAGCAAATATTAAAATAGCAGAACAAAAAGAGATATCAGTGACAAAAAAACTATATGTCACCCTGTTATCACCCTCGTAAAGGCACAAGTGTGTGCTAACTTAATTATGAGAAAATTTAGTTTTGCCTGCAATGAACAGCAAACTCTATTATACTGTGCAGTAAATTGTTTTATAGTACTATTTAATATATTAATATAATTTTCCCTGTTGGCTGTCCAGGTACGTTGACCAATGGCAAAAAGTTTGATTCATCTCGGGACCGAGGGCGCCCATTTAAATTTAAAATTGGAGAGGGACAAGTCATTAAAGGTACGGTTTGTGAAATTACCCATTTGAAATTTGGCGAAATATTACCCAAAGTGATGAGGGTACTATTTCACCAAATCTCCTGAGCAGAGGGTCTATATTATTAGGGATGTGCCGGATACTGTTTTGCCGGATACCGGATAGTAGTCTACCGGATATCGATCAGGAGAAAATAATGACCGGATACCGGATAATAACCGGATACCAGATAATAACCAGATACTCCCATACAATAATTTATTATAGCTTAATTAACTAGTCTAATGTGGCAATGTGTTTAATACACATTTTTTGTCTCTTTGACCTATTTGTCTTTACCAAGGCCATATCCTATGATTCACCTTACATTGTTGCTGTGGAGCAAGCGAGCCTGAAGCGAGCGAGCGTAGCAGCAGCCTAATATGTGCAGAGAGGGGGTTTTGAACTAAATTTTATTTAGCACATGGAAATGTGGTTGTGCGCGCTTTCTATGTGCAGAACACAAATTTTAAACTCGCTCGAGTCTTCGAATTTTTATCGAATTTCTAAAGCTTTTTCAAGTCTAATGTTACGCTTACATTTGTTTTGGACTTTGGCCACTGTCAGTTCTATATTTTTTAACATTTTGGTTTCTTAGTGTGATAAATCTGTGTATATAGTCTATATAATGTGGTAAATGCGCCTAGCAGTAAACAGACTTGATATGAAATCTGCTCTTAATTTACCTGTAATTGTCAATGAGATGCACATTTTTAATATCTGTCACCTCTGATTGCCCTTTAACCCCTGGTCTTTGCTACTGCAATATATATTGCTTCTTCTCACAGTTCCATTCACAGCTCACTAGTCGCTGCGAGTTATCACTGTGCTTGATATAATTTGTGCTGTTTACTGTAGTTCTATTTGCTTTTAATGCCCGCAGCAATCCCTACCTTGCAGGTACCCTAGTTTACTGGTATTCAGTATATAAAATTCACTGCTCTTGGTGAACGAGCAGTTCACATCACCATCACGAAAAAAAATATGTCGTAATTTTGTCGTAACGCAGCGCACGCTCAGTAATTGTTTGTGTTTCACAATTTGTAAACGCCAAGTAAACTTTTCCGTTTCATGATTGTAAGAAAATATCTTACAGTACTATCCGGTAAACATCCAGCAAATTTATACTGGATACCGGATAGTGCCGGATGTCTAAATTGGGTCATTCCAGAAAACATCCATAACACCCCCATGGAGGAAATAGGAAGTTAACCCCCCTACCCCTTCGGATGTCCTAATACATTTACTATTATCAGAAACAATTTTTTCTCCCCTCCCTCTCCGGACGGCATAAATTTCCTCCGTGGGGGGAGTATGGATCTTTTCTGGAACGACCCGGATACCGGTATCCGGCACATCCCTAACAAAAGTGTTTTGCAAGTCGAGATTGTTGTCTCATGCGGAGATTGAGGTTTACCACAATGTGTGGCACCATATGTTCTCTGAAATCTACATATGCAGGACGTTTTATATTTGACTTGCACAGGAAATTTTTATTTTTGGATTTTGCTGCCAAGAAGAGAAATATATTTTCTAGGCCTAAATTGGTGGGCATTAATCAAATAAGGGTTATAATGAATAATGTTTAACCCATTAAGCGCCAGCGCTCTCCCCTTGATGAGTAAAATCGTCTGGCGTTAGACAGAGTAAAATACTAAAGTAGGGTGCATCAGGGTGCATGAAATGCGACTCAATGGGTTAACTAGACACATGGGCAGATAGGCCAGTTAACCCATTAAGCGCTAGCGCTCTCCCCTTGACGAGTAAAATCGTCTGGCGTTAGACAGAGTTTTACTAAAGTAGGGTGCATCAGGGTGCAATGCGACTCAATGGTTAATTAAACTTCCTGTAATTATTTTAGGTTGGGATGAAGGTGTTGCCAAGGTAATGAAGTACATTAATTGTCGAAAAACAGCTAGCAAGTTATTCTTTTTGTCAGGATGAGATTGCATGTAGTATATCTTGATATATTAATTTAACAAACTTGTGTTTTCTACATGTCATATACTTTCAGATGAGTGTTGGTGAGCGTGCTACACTCACATGTTCTTGTGACTATGCTTATGGTGAAAGGGGCCATCCTGGTGTATATCCTTTGAATTCTAATTTAAAAATAGTAATAATAATTAAAACTTATATAGCACAAATTAAACTAATTAGCCATTCTGAAGTTAATGAGAGGACTGGGGATGAGTGTTAAAAAGTGCCCAAATTACGAAATGAACCAAATCACTAAAAAGACCACCTCAAAATTAGTAAGTATACAAAGTTTGAAGACGTTTACATGAGTAGCTTTCAAATAATGAGCTTTCGAAAATTGGGATATTTACTATGAAATGTACTGTAATTTTTGTTTTTGGGGACGCGCATCCCCAAAACAGCCTTTTAATCAGTAATTTCACAAAGGGTATTTATGTAAACGTCTTCAAACTTTGTATACTGACTAATTTTGAGGTGGTCTTTTTAGTGATTTGGTTCATTTCTAATTTGGGCACTTTTTAACACTCGTCCCCAGTCCACTCATCAACTTCAGAATGGCTAATATAGTGTAAAATAGGAATAGAGCCTCAAATAGAGGTCGGATGTATCCGACATTTTCTGACCAAATTTGAATGTTTCCAATCAATTTTCAGTTTGGTCAGACATGTTGCTCAAATTTACTGTATGCTAATATGTTACCATTTTGCCAACTTTAAGCTCTGTTAACTCAAAATGAACTTGAGAAATAGAACTACTTGCTTAGATGTGTTATATATACTTTAAGTTGCATTGCACGCTAATGCACTCTACTTCTGTCTAGCACAAGACATTTTTACTCCTAGTGCAAAGTGGGTTAAATGGAGTGAGACCATTATGGTATTTTGAGAATAGAAATTTCAGGGGGGGGGGACCCATAAACAAAGCCATAGTTTTCTCTATTTCAAACACTGAAATCCCTTTGTGCAATGAAAGGTGTAGGATGTCTTAGAAGTGAGCAATATGATAGTTTGCTGTATTATATGTAGTCAACCATTTTACAATGTTTGCCTTAACTTTGTTCACCATCCCGCCCAATGCGACTTTGGTATTTGATGTTGAATTGCTCAGATTAGAGTAATCTATTGAAACCACATTTTTGACACTGAATCACTGAATGACACAAAATGACCGAAGGTTTACCATATACTACTGCTGCATGTAATCTACTGTGGCCATTGCAATCACTTCATTTGGAAGACACAAACAATAACTTTATTATAATGCAATTATGAATATCACAATTTTTTTATCCAGTTTAAAACAATTGAAGCTGCTACTCTATTTTGATTAATAATAAACTTCATATTTTTTGGTGTTCGTTAGTTTAACATAATTATATACAAGCAATTTTCACAACAGCACGAGCGATTGTAGTTTTATAATTAACACAACTTGAAAGCAAATCTTATAAACAGTTAATTGTGAAATGAATTCCCATTCAAATTACTGCAAGTACAATCACATGAACGAACCCTGAATGGTTCTGACAAGTGTTTGTCTTGCCTTGTTAAAATCTTAAGTGCAGACATATTGTGGTAACCTGACATTTCGTTTGCCCCCCCCCCAACTAATTTTGAAAAGCCTGTATCCACTTTCCGGGGGAGATAACCTTCAAACTTTTGCAGTGTTTGCATAAGTCTATTGTTGTTTGCACATACTTTCTATTGCTCTTGGCATGGTAGGAGAGAGGGCATTTTTCACAACTTTTGCACATACATGCTATACTAAATGGTGACCAAGTGAATTGACCTATTTGAATATTCATAATTTTACAAAGTTGCTTAGAATATAACCTATTCTTAATTCTGTATTATACACATGTATAACTGACACATTATGTCCTAAATTCTTGTGATATATATACAGGGTGTCTCAAAAAAGAGTGACCCTTTAGAAATCGCCCTTTATTTGCAAACAGCCAAACTTCATTGCCTCTGGGAGTTTACAATGCAAAATTCGATTCAATTGTGTTTATATGCACCTATGGGTGTAGGACTCAAGCATTCAAATTATAACAATACTTAACCTATTGAGTTGCATTGTGCCCTGATGCACCCTACTTTGTTATTTTACTCTTGTCTAACACCAGACAATTTTACTCGTCAAGGGCAGAGTGCTGGCACTTAATGGGTTAAGATGAATTTCTAAAAATTCACTTTTTTAGAAACCCTGTATAACTAACACACTGTCCTAAATTCTTGCGGTTTAATTAAACAGCATTTACTAAACGCTATTGGTAAAGCAAGTATCGCAGGATTGGTTTAGGCAACGGCAGTTTTAAATTGACCACATTCTGTAAATTCTTTGCACCAAGCAGTTGTCGTATGGACGTTCTACACTGGGATTGAAGTGTTCTTGGGTTGGATGCTAAAAAGAATAAGTTTTGGTTTCACACGAAATTTATACTATACAAATTCCAGTCCACTTGTGGTATGTTGATTACTGGTTTAAATGGTACTGGATTTGGAGAATTGGTGGTCTGTGTGGTGTTGCTGTCTGCCAGCGATCATTTTAAGCCTTTTTGTAAATTTGTAATTATATAAGATGCTCTTAATCTTGAGGACTTTAAGACCAGCCTTGCTACAGCTAGATTATCTCGTATGGTTGTCAACAACCTCACAAAGAGTTAATGTTGCAACCTTAATGGACAATGGGTACCGGTATGTTAAATTATTGCTTGGTGGTTATTTCTTACCAATTAAGTCGATTGATTGCATTTTATGCTCCTTTCCTGGCAGAATCAAAGGTGCAAATGAAACCGGTAACAATGTTGTCTCTTCATAGTCCACTTCGGATATTTTGCAAATCTTTAACAGCTGTGATAGAGGAGTATTTTAATTAAATAATACAGGTTTTGTTTTAACCATTATTAGTTGCGTTACACGCCCTACTTTATTATTTTACTTGGTCGAACGAGGATGAGAGTTGCAAAGTAGCTCTTGCTCACATTTGACTGCGCCAATAACTCATCAACTTTTGGTTCAAATTTTGATAAGAGTTGTCGCTCAGGGCTCGAAACCTGAAATTTTTGTCAGTATCCAAGTGGATACCAGCATCATAGAATCTAGTATCCATCCTTGAAATATATAGTAACCCAGATTTGGATACTAGATATTCTATTTCCAGTATCTAAGCAAGGCAAAATTTTACCTTGCAACCAGGCCTTTAGTTGCTGAACAAAAACCAGTCCTTTAGTTTCAATAATAAAAATATGTATTGAAATTCGAAAAAATTGAAAATAACACACTGCGGCGATACGAAAGAAAGCACCGTTTGTGAAATTTTTTTAAAAATATTCTGCCAAAATCCGTAGACATTGAAGTTCGGAAACATGCCCAATGTCTAGATGATTATCTACTATCGCAATTTCTAAGTTTTCCTAGTATCCAGTTGGGATACTGAGCTTATGATACCCAGTATCCAAAATTAAAATCTGATATCCTGTGGATATCGGGATACCGCAAGTTTCGAGCCCTGTCGCTACGCTTGCAGTAACATATAGTCAACTCTCTTACTCTCATGCAACTCTTGTTTGACCGGGGCATGGAGTTCGGAACACTCTCATGCAAACTCTCGCTTCTCAACTCTCATACAAGGTCTTAAAATGATTGAGGAGAAAGAGTTACCTTTACATTGACATCAGTATATGGTTTAGATGGTTTTCTTGGATAAGGACGTTAAATCGCAGACCTGTGTACCTCAGATCCCCTACAAATTTGGCAAATTAGCCTGTTGGGAAATCCGCTCACCAATGAGTGAAAAACTTGATAAACCTTTCTAATACTTCCATACCTTATCATCAAATGGCATAATTAGGATTCCACCAATTTTAACTAAAGTCTTCATGTAATCTCCATATTCCGAACTCACCGCTGCACCACAGTACACTCGGTCATACTGACGATAATATGGATTCAAACACAACCCATTACCAGAAACAAATACAGGATCACAAAACTCAACACCAAAAATATTTGGCATTGATTTCTCAAGAAATAATTGCATTTTATTTTGGGCAAACTCTACGAGATTGTTGCAAATTTCAATGCCTTGGTTTGTTCCATTTGCACTGAGAATTAGACCAACTACGGTTGATAAGTATCCCGTCCCACTTCCAATGTTAAGAAATGATAAACCTTCCCGCAACTCTAGACCTTCAAGAACTTCACAATATATGCATGGTGCCGAGAGATGAATGTCCCCATTCTTGTAAGCTAAATCTCTGTAGGCTAGGTTCTCACGGCCTGCTGGGAAATATAATGCTCTGTCGACAGCACGTAAAGCAAATGTAACTTCAGGTGACCTGATGTATCCTGCTTCACAGAGTTTATCAATGAGGTCATTGTTGTCAACACCATGGCTCACAGCTCCACCCATCAAAAGATTTTCATGCTTCTTTTGTTAGATCTCTCTTCACAATTCTGTGATAATATTAATTAGAATATTACAGTTGTAAATGTTGTCAACGCAGGATGTGGTTGCTCATGAGGCTCATGTTACACATTCTCAACAAATAAGTGTTTCGCAAGGCTGACATATTGCTAAAGAATGCAGGAAAAACTGGTGAAGCACACGAGAAACAACCACAATTAAACTACTCTAAGAGGCTGTTTATATGGTGGGGCACCTTTGCTATTATTTCCTACTAAATTTAATATTGAGTTTATATGGGAACCGAGCTGGCCCGTCAAAGCGAGATCCTGCCTCAACCGACTTGCCTAAGCGACATCTTGCCTCGACTGACCCAAGATCTCAGGTGACCTGGTTGGGAATTTCCCGTATAAATGCAATGACCAGGGTTGGCTTGTCTAGCTAAGCGGGCTGAGTGTTATTGCTTTGTTCATGCAAAAATGTTATAAATAAGATTTCCTCACATATTTCGATTGTTAAAGGTCTCTGTGAATGATTCTGTGGGTTATAACCGTGAAAGTTGCTTGCGAAAGTGAGAATTTCAGTCAGATTGAGGCACTAAGGGACACTATGGTGTTGTGAAATGAATTCCAGCCATTTTTTACTTAATTTTCGGGTTTTCAACTGAAAACTAATTTGCACACGTCATGAATTTAACTCAAACAACATTTTACTGCACAGAATCTTTTGACGAGAAGATTGAGTTTCGAAACTCAATTCAAGATTGAGTTTTTGGGGCCATTTTACGGCCCTAAAAAATCCCTGAAAAAAAGCCTGTTGGGGTTTCTCAGTTTGGGGTGTTGCCCGTTGGGGATTCAAATTACTTGGGCAAAAGAGCCTGGACAGCAAACCTTACTGCAGTGTAGCCTTGGTGCCCCTGTGCCGGCTGTGTATTGTGTAGAGTGACATAACTAGACAAAAGGTTTTGGGGGATTCCATCAAACCTCAAAATATGTAAATTAATAAGTTACTTACCAACTACACATACTTAACATGTTGCCAGACTCACAGTATTATTCATAATATTCAGCTATATTAATACTGCTAGCTACTATATTAAAACTTGTTACCAGAGACTTGTTACTTTGTTTATAGCAGGCAGCCTAGTCCCTAGGCCTCTTAGTGCGCCTATTTCGCGTTTCTGCATATTAATGAGGTGATGGCTCTTGCGCGCGTTTCGCTCGGGACGTCACGGAAATCAAAAGCGTGTACAGAGGACTTGGGACTAGTCTGTATAGCAGGATGCGAAGTTGGGGAATGGGAACTAGCAAATTATTAATAATTAACAATATTTAGTTTTAACGAAATTGGGATTTTTAATGAGTTGAAAAGGCTTCAAAATAAATTTTCTGCAATATTATAAACAACGAGTTTATTTTATAAACAGCTAAACTGTAAACTTTACGCCTAAACAGCTTAATGCGCTAATTATTCAAGATCCTGATCACAGAACAAGAGACATACAGAAGGTCGAATCCCAGCTATGAGAAGCAGGATCCGACCCTGGGGACGAGGTTGTGAGAGGGCATCTCCTTGAGAGTATTCAAAATGGCAGATGTTCAGGGGCATTGTTCAGGGGTGAATGGCTCTCATAATCACAGACGGAAATATTCAGTTACGTGCGCTAAATGTTCTGTGTGCTGGAGTCGACCTTCTGTATGTCTCCATCTGTGACCGGACCGAGTGTGGAAACCAGGTGGAAACACGACGCCAGAAGAGCGGAAACTGCGGAGTGTTTTCAAACAATTTCGAGTTTTCCCAATTTCCACGAGTGTTGATATAACTATATATCAATACAGAAAAAAAGTTTTATATTTGTTTTATAAAGGCCGGATTCCACGAGGCGGAATTTTTCGACCGAAACGAAATTTCTCTTTGTCTATTTACAATTAGTTCTGCTCGAGAGCTCATAAACAAAGAGAAATTTCGATTCGGTCGAAAAATTTCGCCTAGTGGAAAACCGCCTTAACATAGCACAAAGAAATATAAAGATAAGAAATTTTCCGACGTTTCCGTGTTGACATTGAGTTATATCAACACGGCTCTTAGCCAATCAGCGTTCAGAATTTACAAGTTGCCAAGATCAATGGCCGGTCCCCAAAAGATGCACATTTACAGTAAATTGAGTGGGAACGACTCCGAATAACCACTATGATATAACTGTATAAGAAATCAGCGCTACCAAAAGCCTTCACAAATGATTGCTGGAGACTTAGAACTGCTTGAAATTTGTTCTAATTTAGAAACAATCTGTTGCACAACTCCATAACAACCGTTGTGGCTTGGCAGCTTGCTCGCTTTGATCTCAAAATAAACATGCAAATTTGAATTTCTAATCAGGCTATAAACATCTCATATGCAGCGTGTGAAATACCAATGTCGCACTCTCGTGAAATGATTTATAAGGGAATACGTTTTTCACAAGTATATGTACAAGGTCGTCTTTAAAAAGGTCCTCAGAATGACAAACATTTACAATAACATTTACTGTAATATGGGTCTTTAGGTGATATTTACGCAGCTCATCAAATATTTAAGCCGAGGCGATTCCACTTGAAATTAAACCGCCTTATCAATGACAATGTACAGTATTTTTCTTTCTCGATAATTTTACGTTGTAGCTGCCCAGTCCTGCAAGTTGTCAGGCTTTCGTTTATCATGACAACAATCGACAACATATTTTAAATATTCTCGACATGCTCCTTGCTGTGTGTGTCGAATTTATACACGCAATAATAATATATCGAAATTGCGGTCAATTTCTCCGACACACAAACAATACAGCACCCTATATTTTTTTTAACAACTTAGGGAGATATCTAACTGCTTCGACTATTATGGTAAATTTTATAGAAGCAATCGCTAACACAATATTACAATGATATCTTGCAACGTAAATGGACCACATACTACAGTTGGCAGGCTTGGGCTGAACAAACATATATAAAAGACTGGTAAAGGCTTTTGAACAGCATTGTACGCTACATTGCGTTCAACAAAAGCATGCTATCAATACGAAACGTATTTGCACGAAATTTGCATTCTTTGAAGCGAGATGAGTTGCTATAAAAAAATGTACGAAATTCTGACGTTGCGAAGGCGAAAAGCTTGCACAGACAGGGCGCCATGGCCCATCCCTTAAAATCGAAAACATAATGTCGGTCCAAGCATGCGGGTTAAATCGTATCACAATCGCAAGTGCTAGAGTACCAGCCGTTGTTCAAACAGTTTTTTGTTGTTGTTGTTGTTGTTGTGAGGTTTATTGTCAACTTGGTTACATTGAACACTGCTGGCTCAGCAATATAGTTTCTTCAACGTCCAGCGAAGCATATTGTGTTGTTTGTCGAGTATAAACCTTTGTATCCAAGGTCCGAGTTTAATTGTCGAGAGAAATATAAAGGACGAACTTCGATTCTGATGAATGGGAATACAATTTAATACTTCAAAAACTAAAATATAACATACAAAATCTCTTAACACGCACTTAAAAACTAGGTTTTACAGCTTCGACCGATACAGGAACATGAAACACTTCCCCTTTCGACGTACTAAAGCTATTTGTGTTGTGCGGTATATAAGTTCAAAATCAAAGCGAATGTTTGAAGTTCATCTATAAGTGTTCAAAATCATAGTGTTCTTGAGTTCGTTCTGTGCAAAATGTTAGAGTCCTTTATACTTATTCGCGGCTCATCGATTGACCAAATGGTGCCTTGACACCCATTTCTTGAGCTTGCTGGACTAGAGCACATAGAGGGCAACAGCATACGGTAAGAAGATCCGAAACAGCGCTGCCTGGAATGCCTTTCTGCTCACGAATTTTCGCACGATTGGAACACAGAGCGTAGAGATCTATGAAGGGAACCAAGAGCGCCAAACCACATAACAAGCAGTCGTCACCTACAGCTTCTGCCGACTTGCCCATAGTATAACATGGCACGAAATAGGTCGTCAAACACAGCATACAGTCGTCGAAACAGCTAAACAAGCCATGGCTAAATTCTCCTGACATCTTCGATCTTTTTTTTGAAAGATTTCAAATCAATACTACAATAGCTTTCTTCTTCGATACGACCTGTTCCACAACTCAGCACGATCGCATTTTATACTGAGCTCACATGAACCTCATTTGAAATTCACGTGACCGTTCGGAGCCTTCTGATTGGACAGATGTTGCGATTAAAATAGGCGTTGTTGCAAATCTTCCTTATATGGTGTATATTCGTTCCAGTCTCCGCAAGCCATTCCGCGCGCGGTTTAATAAATCTTAGGCCTACATGAAGTATTTGGCAATTTATATAAGTTGTATTTTTAAAAACAATTCACAATAAAATTTCTGGAAATTCTGCGTTGTTGTGTGCCTCAAAGGTATGGTTTGCAGTAGCAAACCTATAAAATGGCGTAGCTGTTCGAGAAATCGAGAATATTAAAGTTTAAGAGGCTGTCTCTCTAAGAACCGACCAGTGGCTTTCAAGCAAAAAAATGATTTTCGCTTCTATTTTGCCCACGTGTTGTGTTTTCCTTAGCAACATTTTTGCCGGTTTTAGAATTTTTAAATTCTATTTTATTTTCGAGTTTTAGCTTATTATAACATCCATGCCGGCGTGAGCGGGATTCGAAACGAAGCGCCGCCCATAAATCCCCGCGGTAAATCTCTCGTCATATCTCGGGAAGTTTTGCATCAAATTCAACAATTCCTTCAGATATATAAACCAGAACTATTCTCAATTGAAAACCTCGTATCAATGTAAGAGTCAACAATAATTTTAAGTATATTTCTTCTTCTTTAGCGAACGTAGTAATTTGTCGTTTAATCCTTCGCCGCATAGTTCGTAATTATAATGGAAAATTTTTCGAAAGTGGCACCTATCTGGACTTTGAAATACATTTAGAGTGAAAAAGCACTCTTTGAAGTTAAATGATCGACAATAAAACTTGCCGGCAAAAGAAAATTGAATGAGAACAAAACGCTATAATACGAGCTATTTTTAGTTGGTTTGTTTACCTGTTCATGTGCGAAAGTCCCTTTGATGTTTACAGCAAGGCAGTTAGCTACAAGTCACATTGTAGCTTACAAACTTGTAATTTATAGTCAAAAACGAACAATTAATGTTGTTCTTTTGTGTTAGAAGTGATCCTGCTTCTTCTAGGCTCGTTTAATCCAGTAAACTTGAATTTGAGTAGCCTGCGAGCAGGCTCTCTGGGGAAAGAGAGCCTGCAAGGATCCCTATGATGATTGCGTGCCGCCCTTCAATTATGATGTCACAGGTCAATTAATAACAACCAATCAGCGCAGACCGGAATACATTACGATATTGTAAACATAAACCGATTCGTTTCAAATTCGTTAATAGTTTCGTATACAGACCGCCACTGTGGCATACTAAAAAAGTTAAAACGGCTCGAGGTTTTACAGAGTAATATATCAAGTTGTACTTTTTATTACAATCTGTATGTGTTTCTCCTGTAGGCACAGTAAGTTTAAAGTTGTATATTACCCGCTAAGTCGCTAACTAATTCAGTTATTTGGAATTGCTTCGTGCTGCAATATATAATATACACTGTATACAGTCTATATATATATAGTAATAATATAACTTACTGAAATTTATGGCTTTGGTGAGACATAGACATATATGATATACCATGGACATTGGACATAATTTAATAATATGTTTATAGTTCAAATTTTGCAACAAAAAGTGGAATTGCAGTAAACATGCATGTGATAATTTAATATTGTAAACAAAGTGACGAGTAAATTACTGTACATTTTACCTGTAACGCCGCATACTTATAAATATTAAATAGTCAGTATAACATTGTAAAACAAGCTTAATACACACAATATGCACTGAATATCAGAATTCCCAATATTGTTTCATAAAAGAGAAGCGATATAATGCCTTGTCCCTAGGTTTCGGTTTGCGAATTTGTGCAGTCTTTCTCAAGAATTATTCTTAGCTTAGGAGTCAGACAAGCCAAGGACACAATAAAGCATGCAAGCTTTTAGTATTCGTCTTTATATGAATACTATATTAATTTACAGTAAAAAGTCAACCAGGATCAAAATACATGACACTTTTATCTCTACATTGCCGCAATTCCGAAGCTTTGCGTTGCTCGGTTTTACACACGGGAAGTGCAAGTTTATGGAAGCTTGTCAATCACTTCATATGAATCAGTTATCAACCAATCAGAGCACTGCGTCCAAATATTGGACGCATGCACCGAATCATCAAAGGGATCCTTGCAGGCTCTCTTTCCCCAGAGAGCCTGCTCGCAGGCTAGAATTTGAGTTGAAGTTAATAGCTCATGCCTGCTTGCGGCGACAAACAGACGTTATTAAATAAAAGTTAATATTTAATATTAAACTAAACACACCGCGCGGACGCGATTCCACAACGCGATGCGATTTTTTAGTTTTTGAAAGTTAATAAAACAGCCAATGAGAGCAAATTTCGAAAGATATGTAGAGCAAATAACTCAAAATGTTATACCGTTTCTAAATATTTGGAAAATTTAAAATTAAACTAGAACCAAAGTTATCGGTCCGTGAAAATCGAAAAATCGCGTCGCCTTGTCGAATCGCGTCCTGTTTGTTTGGACCTTAATGTGCGTAAAACTCTTCACTGATGTTTTTGCCAGAAAATAAACATCTCTACCAATATTAAATCGGCTGCAGTCTTGTGATAATTCTTGTGGTTTTATGTACATAGTGGCAGGCAACAACATGGGCATTTATCCAACATGTTTGAGATAGTATTGATTAGATCTTGCTTTTTGTCTTTCGACTTGAATCCGAGCTCAAAATGTGAGCAAATTTCCTTTAGCATCGTAACCTTAAATCCCGAAAGTTTGTCTTGTTTGTGCAATTCACACAAGTCGTACGCATCGTAGTAGATCGGGTGGGCCACGTTCAATTCATTACTGATCAAATTCAGCAAATACGCTCGTTTTTCATTTTCTTCTGCATCGTCAGTATCGCTTTCATAGTTATCGACCTCAATTTCTTCCTCAATATCTGTGCTTATCACACCTTTGCGTCGCTTTTTAGCAAGCCTCGAGAAAAAACCTTTGATCTGCTCTTTGTTGAGCCACTCGGCTGCCTTGAATAATTTTTCTCCCCCTTCATCCTTTGCACATCTCATATCTTTAGCCACCTGCGCTGGGTCTGATTTATGACCTGTTCGCTCACCATAATCAAATTTCGCAGTCAAATACTTGCAGACATCTGGAGAAAAACGCGCAGAGCCAGTTTTCGGTTTACTGAGAGCCCATCCCATCCTTGAAGAGGATTCTCTGCATTCTAAAGTTTGATGTTGTTTCGGTCCCTGGCCCTGGACATTTCTTGAGCTTAACGTTGTGAATTGTTTTGCCCACTCTCTTTTTAACGCATCATACACGCTCTCGCTGTTGATAAAGCGACTATGCTGGCCCAGGTCCATGTGAAGCTCTAAGCTCTGAATTGTTTCAAACACGTGGTTGCAACCAGGCTCAGCACAATCAAACAAACCAGCACTGTCTGCGTTTGAATTATCATCATGGTTTTCATTTCTTTTCAGTTTCGTTTGCCTAGTCTGCTGTACAGCGGGAAAGTTGACTGACACTTGCAATTCTGTACTCTTTTGTCGGCTAATGTAGATATCTTTATCCAATAGTTTCTTTCCCTTTCCAATGCCATGTGCTTTCCACACCCTTATCCCTGCTTCTTCATACTGGAAATTGTGATAACTGCTGAAGTCCTTAATTTTCTTTACACTGAGCTGCTCAGCAGAGGCTTTGACTTCATTGACTGATGATGTTGTTCCTTTAACTGGACGGCAATTCAGTGCAGTATGCATGTCTTGAGCTGTAAGGATATCATTTCCTTCATTGCAGTATCGGCGGATTGATGACTTCAGGGGGCAGATGATCCTATCACAAATATCCTTACCTTGTTGAGGTTCTGAGAAATCATAGCTTTGGACACAAATTCCAACGCGATTTCCAATATCTTTCAAAGATGCTACCAGAAGGTTGTTGTGGTAACATCCTGCCTCATCAGAACGAATGTAAGCTTTGCTGATATTTGCCATGCTGGACTTGATAGTTGATAGCAGGTTTTCGAGAATTGATGCAACGGCAAACCAGTCTTGAGTGGTGGAATCGAATAAATGAACATATGATGTAACCACTGCAGTGTCCGAGGATACGCCCTTCGATACGACGCTGCTTACATGCCAACATAGCCCACGTTTGCCATACCAGTCAGATTGTTTTTCTCGAAAACGTATCTGCTGAAACTTCATGGCCCAGTCAATAACAATTAACACTGATGTTTCGTCCAGGCTTTCCAGTATTTCCTTCTTTGCATTTTCCTGATTTATCGAACGGAGAATATGGGCCTTCCATTTGCTGATTCTGTCTTTAGCTTCTTTAAAGTCGTGGATGAGCTCTTCTTTTATATCTTGAGTATATGAAAAATGTGTGTTGCTTTTCAGCTTGTTTTCTAGTTCCTGTAAAGTAGATTTGAGGTTCTCACAGTTATCACAAACCAGCGTATGTTCGTGTGCACACTTTACTTGAAAAGCTTCATCTCCTGGATCACTTAACGCAAACATTGTACAGTGATCAGCACATAAACTATCATCCTCTTGGCAATGTACCTTATAATCTGTTTTGAGGTATTCTTTTGCTTTATGTAACCTTTTGATGACAGACTGTGACCATTGGATATCAATTCCTAGATGAACTAGACGTTCAGAGATTTGTTCCATAGTGTTAAACCCATTCGATCCATCAGCAGCGGTATTATCCAAGCCTTGTAAAGATTTTCGCTGTGAGGCTTCTCTAACTTCCAGGATACGAAATAATGTGGTTCTGCTAAGTGGCTCGAATTCTTCTTCCTTACAAAACTGCAGATATTGCGCAACCATTGTGCACTTGGTAACTGTGCGAATAATATTTGGCATCTCAATAGTTTCACCACTTTCAAGTTTTAGTGTTCTGGTGCCGAAAGCGACATCTTGATGGTAATATGGTCGGTTGGCAAAGTCAATGAAGTGATCTACTTTGCCCATATCTAGGCTTACTCGATGGTATCGGGTTTTTTCCATCTCCATACCTGGCCCGTTGTTTCTAGCATGAGCACGAGCTCTCTTAATCTGCCATTTGCTAAGCCGACCATAAGGCTCATGTAATGTTTGCAGTTTCTGTGCGGGCAATTCGTAAGCATATAAGCTCAGAATCTGGATCTTCAGACTTCTTGATGGTGCTTGTGCGTAGGCTGTCATCAACGGGACAAGACTTTTTCCCTGATCTATTTGCTGCAACGCCTCAAAAAGCTTTTCTCCGTCATTTGGGGCAATAATTTTGCAAATACGTTTGCAGGCATCAGTAGCCCGTGTTATGCACTCGTCCTTTTCTTTAGGGGTTGCAGAATCTAGATCACCATCGAGCTGGAAAGTCAATTTTGGTGGCGCTTGAGTTCCGGCCAGCTGAGATATATTTTCCATAGCCTGATTGTATTGATCTAAAACTGAAGTACCTGCAGCAACATCGCATTCCTCTTGATCACTGTCAGTGTCACTCAGATAGGCACTTGCACAACCTGGTGTCCATGTGTCTGTACGCTGGAGCCCATATTCTGAAGAACATGATGGGGTACTGAAGAGGCTCATTTCAAACATTTGATCAGTCCTTGATGCTGTTGATTGTCTAAAAGTGAAAAACTACAAAGCTTACTACTTTGTGAATTTTCAAATCAAAATTATTTTCATTTGAATTATTAATTAAAGTACTATTTCCAAAAATTACCGACCTGCTATTGTCATCTGAATGCGTGCTTTGGAGGCTTTCACTCGTTGTTTGCTGTTGCTTCAACCAAACGCCCTCTTTCGTCATCCTTTCTTTGTGCAATTCCCGACACTGCCTGCATATGGCTGAAGAGAATTATTAAATTTATTCATTTAACGTTAATTTTTGTTTAAAAGTTTTATGGTTGCTTGTTTTTGATAAATGTGAAAAACTTGTACTATCAAACATTTTGGTATATTTTTCACGATAATGGATACCTGGTGAGGTAAGCAAGCCTAGTGAATTAATTTTGATCTAGTCCTAGGACTGAACAGTGGAAAAATGCATTAATTTTGTATGAGTATGAGATGTCATTTCAAAACATCAGATTCGGTCTAGATCCGATTTCAAGTTCTCACTCCTCGCTGTCAGTTCCAGTCTTCGGCCCCGCCTCAGCGTGGAACTACCTGCTTGGACTTGAAATCCGTTCCAGTCCTCGTTTTTGGATTTGAAATATTACCGTAAAGAAATGGCAGGGCTTGACGTATCCCCCTGGATCATTGAGGAAAACTAACAGTACAGTACTTAATTCATTGAGGAAGTAGAATTGTTTTAAAATACAATTAATAACTTACGTGACCCTATTTGCACAAGTTTTCCATAAAGCGTGAAAGCAGCTTCCGACAATGCCATGTTGAAGACGTCTTTCCCTGGGCACTTTCGAACTGGACCTGAATGAAGCGGGTATTGACATGATCTCAGCGGTCTCCAAAATCTCCCCAAACTGTTACGATGACTTGGGCATATGGCTATATTACGTAGATGTTCTTCTGTGGGGTGGAAAATTCCCGCTCTTGCTGCAATAACTTCGCATTCCAGCATTTTAGCTTTCGAGAGATGACAACTAGAAAGATGGTTTCTTATATTTTCCTGACAATCACCAAGAGTAACAATCTCTTTTACCCTTCTATTTTCACCGCAACAAATACCCCCTACGCCAATAAACGAACAATTCTTTGTATTCATGTTTCAAGAATATTACCGAACTGTATATGTCTTTACAAGTCAGGAAGTGCTCACATCCAGCAATAAATGTTGAGTCACGTGCACAGGTGTGAGGAATTGTGATGAGGGAAATAGGACATGCCTGTATTTGTGCGCGCACATATTTTCATATTTTTCAGAAAATGGGAAAATAGTTTATGTGGTTTGATCTAAAATAGTTTTCTTTTTTATTCCTCCTTTTATTTTACTATAGCCAACAAGCAATTTAGTTATCTACACCGTCCACCCCCCCCCCCCGCCTCCCACCCTGCCTGCAGCCGTTGTTAAACGGGAACAAAATAAACATGAGAACGCGCTTATTAATTAAATAATAGACAAAATAATTATATAACAGACAAAATAATTAAAGAATATAGATGTAATCAACATGTTGGACTGCCTTTGTCTAAATAAATTACAATACAAGAATGATCACAAGTTTGCTGGCGCTGTCAAACCAAAATTATGTGAAACACGCCTCAGTGAGAGATTTTCGCCAACGTTTGCCTTCGTATATATTGGTAGTGAGTTTCAAACGTTTTTTCTCTCGCAGAAAAACTTCAGTGAAGAGTTAGTTACGCATTGAACATTACTCATTAGTAGTTATTAAATATTAAGTTTTTAATGTCTTTAATAACGTTTGTCTGTCGCCGCAAGCAAGCTAATAGCTGTTAACTTCAACTCAAATTCCAGTTTGCTATATCAAACGTGCCCGCAGAAGAGGTAGGACGGCTTCTAACGCAAAAGAACAACATTAATTGTTCGTTTTTGACTACAAATTACAAGTTTGTAAGCTATAATGTGACTTGTAACTGCCTTGCTGTAAACATCAAAGGGACTTCCGCACATGAACAGGTAAACAAACCAACTAAAAATAGCTCGTATTATAGCGTTTTGTTCTCATCTAATTTTCTTTTGCCGGCAAGTTTTATTGTCGTTCATTTAACTTCAAGGAGTGCTTTTTCACTCTAAATGTATTTCAAAGTCCAGATAGGTGCCACTTTCGAAAAATTTTCGATTATAATTACGGACTATGGGGCGAAGGATTAAACGACAAAATACTACGTTCGCTAACGAAGAAGAAATATACTTAAAATTGTTTTTGACTCTTACATTGATACGAGGTTTTCAATAGAGAATAGTTCTGATTTATATTTCTGAAAGAATTGTTGAATTTGATGCAAAACTTCCCGAGATATGACGAGAGATTTACCGGGGATTTATGGGCGGCGCTTCGTCTCGAATTTCACTCACGCCGGCATGGCGGTTATAATAAGCTAAAACTCGAAAATAAAATAGAATTTAAAAATTTTAAAACCGGCAAAAATATTGCTAAGGCAAACACAACACGTGGGCAAAATAGAAGCGAAAATCATTTTCTTGCTTGAAAGCCACTGGTCGGTTCTTAGAGAGACAGCCTCTTAAGTATGTATTTATGCTTTTTCTTATAGAATATACTGTCAGTGATGGGGGATACCACGAGGACTTTTATAGTAATTCGATACCAAAATAAACACAAAATTTCTATTTTTGAAACCGAAAATGATTACTCGTATTGTTAGTATCCGTCACTTTTGATACTTTTCACCATTTGATAATTTACTGTCAGTCAGCGGAAGAAATATGTTTTACTTTAGGTTATAGATTCATGTCTCGCTATTTATAATGCTAACCCTAATCCCCACCCTAACGCTAACCCTATTAGCGAGACATGAATCTATATCCTTACTTTATGTAATCTAATAAAGCCGACATATTTAATAAAGTAAAACAACAGCACGTCGATATTTTTTGTATCTGACTTGGCGGACTATTTTGATGGTTTTGTTTTCTTTTGTTTGACAAAAAAATTCTAAGAAAAATTAAAATTGTGCTGAGAAAGGGGGTGCAAGTATCAAACGATACCAGGTCAGCAATCAATACCAATACTGCTGGACATGGTATTGCTGGTGTTGATTACCAAGTTCTCGGTATCGGCCATCACTATATACTGTATACAGTCCGGACTGTACATTTTGGCTTTGGAGGAAATTAATTTCCTGCACCAAGGTTCTTGCAATTATGGAAATCTGCACAAAGTTTTTCAAATTGTGAAAAACTGCAAATAATTTCTGAAGAATCTGCACAAAATGCCTTTGTGAACCATGAGAACCAAGCAGATTTCTGATCTTCCTATTTTGACAAAAAAAACTTCTGACTACAAGATCCCTCAGTCTGCCATAAATCTTCTGTGAAAATATCTGACATTTCTGCTCATTCTTTTTCAGGGACAAAATATTTCCTGTGCAAAATAAAACTTTTCAGTCTAGTATACGGTAAACTTTGGCATGGTTGGCATTAATATGTGTCCAAAGTCTGTTTTCCACTAAGTGAAAAAAAATTTCCGGCAATGCTATTGATCAGCGACAAAATTCACTGCAAAAAATTTGGATCAGTTCCTACTTTTTTACCTGTTGTTTTATACAAACTATTTCGCCCTACTCGAAAATAGGTTTAACCGATTAAAAGACAAAGCAAAGGGCCCATTTGGTTAAACAACCCACTATATGTGAGCTGCAATGCACCCCAATGTTCCTACTTTGTTCTATATTCTGTCTAACTCCAGACAAATTTATTTTTCAAGGAAAAAATATTGTTGAAATATTGGGCATTAATACAGTAGGCCAGTCTATGTGCTTATATCTTAAACTCGTTAATATGCAAAACTCTCCCCTTGATGAGTAATTGAGTATAGTCATGTAGCATTAGAGTAAAATAATAAAATAGAGTGCATTTGGGTGCATTGCAGCTCAGTGGTTTAATGTTAACCCATTAAGCCACAATGTGCCCTGATGTACCCTACTTTATTCAATCATAAATTCAACAATTTCGACAAATTAATTTTTCTTTAAACTTGGTCAAATTGGAACAAAATTTGATTCATGAAACTATTATCATATCAAGTACAAAAGTGTATAAAATACTGCAACAACTTAATAATTAGGTTGCTAATATATACAATATATAATTAACATACAACTGCAGTAGCCAAGTATCTGTCTTCCTGCATTTCAGGAAGTTCTTGCCAGCTATAGCGATCAAATTGAAAACATTCTACAGACTTTAAGCATATTCTTCTTTCATCTCGGCCACCCATGACAATCACAGTGTCTCTGACAACTGCAGCCACACATCCTGCCCTCTTATACTTCATGTCTGGTAACATACGACTCTTCTGGGTCTTGATGTTGTATAATAAAACTTTGTTTAATGCTTGATCATTACTGTCAACACCACCCGCTATGATCACACTGTCATCACCCCACTTGACTGTGGCCATTTCAGACACAGGGTAGGGGAGGGCTGCTAGCTCCTTACATTCATTCTTAGTAATATCATACAACAAAACACTTGCAAGATTTGTTGTATAGTCCCAGAATGAGGTCCTACCTCCAAGAATCAGTATCTTGTCACCAAACATTGCAACACCATGAAGATATCTTGCCTGTGGCATGGTAGCCAACAGTTTACTGGTATAAGGTGGGACAAGGGAAATCTCAGTAATACTATCAGAATATGCATGTTTACTACCATCATAACCTCCAATCACTATCAACCGTCCATTATAAACTACACTGCAGTGTCCATTCAATGCTGCAGGTAACTCAGCAACAACGTTTTCCCAAGTTATGGACTGATCAACTTGAACAGCATTCAGTGATAGTTTTTCAATTGACTTGATTCCTGCTCTGCTAGCATCACCTCCAATGACGAAAAATTGATTGTTGTGAACAACTGAAGATGCTTTCGTACGACTTTCTTTCATTGGCTTTAGTGGTGTCCAGGTTGCATTTGAGAGACTGAACATTTCCACTGAATTTAGAAGTTTTGCCCCATTCCAGCCTCCAGCGATAAGGACCTTCAGCTCTCTGTCCATTCCACCTTCTGCAATATCTTTCTTCATTTCTTCAGCCTGAACTACATGCGATGTTTGTTGTGTCATTGTTTCCAGTTGTTTCATAATTTCATTTAAACTTCTCTTCATTTCTATGTTGTCCGCTTTGAGTCGACTAATGCCTTCTTCCTGCTTGTTAAGTTGTTCTCGAAGCTGTTCTTGAACCCGTTCAACTTTTGCGAGCCCATTTCCCACAGCTGTTTTAACATTTTCCTCCACTGCCTTAACGTTCGTCTCATTTCTGTGCAAATGTTCCCCAACTCCTTTCAACTTTTCATTCATTGCTGCCAAATCAACTTTCATTGTATCCATCTCTTGTCTGATTTCGTTGCAATTGTGGCACTTGACTCTGCGTAGTTCACACACAGCTGTTTCATGGTGTAGTAAATCTTGTTTATTCACCTCAAGTTGGCATCCTTCGTTAGAGCAGACTGCTGGGGCAAACCCACAGTCAGTGACATGCCTTTCAAGATCTCCTAATTCAACAAACTGTCCGCAACCACGATCGAAGAATTGACAACGGATCTTTAATTCGGAAAGTAAGTTCGTTGCGGTCCGAGGTGCTTGGCGCAGTGATTCGACAGTGAGTGGTTCCATACACGATGGACATGTTTGAAAGTTCATGAGATGTATGGTGATACAAGCTCGACAGAACAAATGTTCATTATGTCGACACGAAATTGGATCCTTCAAAACATTCAGACATATACTACAATGCAACGTGTGACCAACGGGATGTTGAAATAGTTCATCTTCCCAACCAGTCTCGTATGACGCCATTTTCAGTTTAGATCACTGTTGAATCAATATCTTGGGAAATATACATGAGAGAAAAGATGTTAGATGTCGTTTTGAATTGAAGACGAAACGCTTTTATTTAAAATTCTTATATTATTGACCGAGACAGCACTGTGCATAGCCGTTCTGCATCAACAAATACGAGTTTAATTTAAAGCAAGCATATAAAAGACGTCTAATCTGTAAATTACTTTCTTGATTGAAAATTAAAATACTCTCAAAATGGCATCTAACGCTCGTGAAACTTCTAAATATCTATTGACTATTTCTTTTTTGTCTCTTCAGAAATTGCTTGTGTTTACAGCCGACTTTGAATCGGCGCTGTGTTTCGATATGCTTATGTAAACTCACTTGAATATATTTCATCTTACCTTGGCTTTACTTCATTCAGGAACTACATTTTGTCGTGTAGTTTATTTACATCGCTATAATGTTTAAAACACAGTGCTTGATTTGACAGTGAAAAGAATAAACAGTAGTTTGAGAGCGCAGTCAAAATCATTAGTTTCAGTTTGAGTTGAATACACTTGATAAATTCATGAATATTCAATTGCATTGAAATTGCGAAATTGCACAAATCTTGTGACTCAAGTTCACGACCCCATACAGTTGAGAGTTTGTTGTTGTTTCAAATGTCAAACCTGATCACCTGATGCAGATCCAACATTTTGCACCATTAGTCAACATTACTGAACATGATGTTGAAACATACCGTATATAGTCATCTGGAAACTCAGCAATCTCATTCTTCACTGCGCACAAATATTTTGAACTTTTGCGTACAAAGGCTGCTGTCCAGTTAAGCGTTTTTGACACGTAAATATTTTAAATCTTTCTAAATTTTATATATATAAGTACTGCTTGGCTCAACAAATACGCTTTAAATCATACACAACACAAACTTACTTACTATCTCGTAAGAAACTTTCAAGTGGATTTAAACTTTGCCGTGAGTGTACGTACCATAGCATAGGTACGTACCTATGAAAACGCCAACTGGAAAGCTGACTTTACTCAGTAATATTGCAACAGTACTTTTGAGTGATTCGACAAGATTACGTCTTAAATTATGCAAAATTAGCTGAAATTTTCATCTTCAATGTTAAAAATTTACCTGAAGTGTAATAATTATAATAGAGCTTTTTCCGATTGATTTCCACTGTCCTACTAAGCTTTCGAAGAAAAGTGGTGTCTGGGGGAACTCCCGCAGAAAATTTTTGAAGCTCCAGGACTGCATTTCTGGCGTTTTCTAAAGCAAATTCGCAAACGAATTTGATCTAAATTGACTGTAATTTAGGTCGCTACGTCCCTGAATGTGCCCCCCAATGTTCCTACTTTGTTCTATATTCTGTCTAATTCCGGGTAAGTTTACTTTTCAAGGGAAAAATATTGTTGAATATTGGGCATTAATAAACTAGTGCGTGCTTGCAGTGTGTCTTTAGTCCATTAATTAATGTGCAAGACTCTCGCTGCGAACACAAAACACTTGTGTGAAAAGAGTCGGTCGACGCTCTACCGAAAGTTGTTGGTTTTCTCCGGGGACTCCAGTTTAATACCGAAAGAAAAAACGTACTAAATGAACGTGAAATTCCAGGACAGTTTATGGATCTAATCATTACTGATGTGCAGGGGAGAGGGAGCTTGATAATTTCTTCCTTTGAAGTGTGCGCTGGTTAGGGAGGCATTTTTTGAAAGAAGGGCTTAATAGAGGATTTATCGTGACGTATTAGGCTAATCGCACGCGGCGATTGGCAAACAAGACGACAAAATACACAAATGTTATCAATATTCCAAACGATATGTGATTCGAAAGAAAAGTGAAAAATAGTTGCGTTAATAAAAAATACAACATCCGGTATTCGCGAAGGTATGTGGCAACTTTTATATTCTCAACTTGGAGGCTTTGTTAATTTTCGGTATAATATATCATTTATAGACCCTTCACTCACGGGATTAGGCAAAACATTACCCTCAGTGATGATATTTCCCTCGGAGCATAGCATACATTTTGGCGTATTCCAGCTCAATGGTTTAATATTAACCGATTAAGCCATAATGTGCCCTAATTATACACCCTACTTTATTCAAATTAAATTTTCTTTAAACATGGTCGAATTGGTACAAAATTTTATTCATAAAACTATGATCATATCCCAAGTTGAAAAGTGTATAAGATACTGCAACAACTTAATTAGGTTGCTAATATATACAATGCATAATTAACATACAACTGCAGTAGCCGAGCATCTCTCTTCCTGCATTTCGGGAAGTTCTTGCCAGCTACTGCGATCAAATCGAAAACATTCTACAGACTTTAAGCGCTTTCGTCTTTCATCTCGGCCTCCCATGACAATCACAGTATCTCTGACAACTGCAGCCACACATCCTCCCCTCCTATACGTCATGTCTGGTAACATACGCCTCTTCTGGGTCTTGATGTTGTATAATAAAACTTTGTTTAATGGTTCTTCGTTACTGTCAACGCCTCCGACTATGATCACACTGTCATCACCCCACTTGACTGTGGCCATATCAAACACGGGGTAGGGGAGGGCTGCTAACTCATTACATTCATTCTTTGTAATATCATACAACAAAACACTTGCAAGATTCTTACTATAAGCGAAGATTGAGACCTTACCTCCAAGAATGAGTATCTTGTCACCAAACATTGCAACACCATGAAGATATCTTGCATGTGGCATGGTAGCCAACAGTTTACTGGTATAAGGTGAGACAAGGGAAATCTCAGTAATACTATCAGAATGTGCACCTTTACTACCATCACAACCTCCAATCATTATCAACCGTCCATTATAAACTACACTGCAGTGTCCATTCAGTGGTGCAGGTAACTTAGCAAGAACGTTTTCCCAAGTGATGGACTGATCAACTTGACCAGCATTCAATGATAGTTTTTCAATTGACTTGATTCCTGTTCCACCACGACCCACACCTCCCATAACAAAAATTTGATTGTTGTAAACAACTGAAGATTGTCTACTACGACCTTCTTTCATTGACTTTAGTGGTGCCCAGGACGCGTTTACCAGACTGAACATTTCCACTGAATTAAGATATTTTCTCCCATTCCAGCCTCCAGCGATAACGACCTTCGGCTCTCTGTCCATTCCACCTTCTGCAATATCTTTCTTCATTTCTTCTGCCTGAACTTCATGCGATGTTTGTTGTGTCATTCTTTCAAGCTGTTTCGTAATTTCATTTAAACTTCTCTTCATTTCTACATTGTCCGCTTGGAGCTGACGATTGCTTTCTTCCTGCTTGTTGAGTTGTTTTTGAACCAGTTCAACTTTTGCGACCACTTCTGTCTTGAACTTCTCCTGATTTCTGTCATTTCTTTCCATCTTTTCCCCAACTCCTTTCAACTTTTCATTCATTGCTGCCAAATTAACTTTCACTGTATCCATCTCTTGTCTGATTTCGTTGCAATTGTGGCACTTGACTCTGCGTAGTTCACACACAGCTGTTTCATGGTGTAGTAAATCTTGTTTATTCACCTCAAGTTGGCATCCTTCGTTAGAGCAGACTGCTGGGGCAAACCCACAATCAGTAACATGCCTTTCGAGATCTCCTAATTCAACAAACTGTCCGCAACCACGATCGAAGAATTGACAGCGGATCTTTAATTCGGAAAGTAAGTTCGTTACGGTCCGAGGTGCTTGGCGCAGTGATTCGACAGTGAGTGGTTCCATACACGATGGACATGTTTGAAAGTTCATGAGATGTATGGTGATACAACCTCGACAGAACAAATGCTCATTATGTCGACACGAAACTGGATCCTTCAAAACATTCAGACATATACCACAATGCAACGTGTGGCCAACGGGATGTTGAAATAGTTCATCTTCCCAACCAGTGTCGTATGACGCCATTTTCAGTTTAGATCGCTGTTGAATCAATATCTTGAGAAATATACATAAGAGAAAAGATGTTAGATGTCGTTTTGAACTGAAGACGAAACGCTTATAAATTCTTATATTATTGACCGAGACAGCATTGTGTATAGCCGTTTTGCATTCAACAAATACGAGTTTAAAGCAAGCATAAAAAGACATGATAGACATCTATTCTGTGAATTACTTTCTTCATTAAAAATTAAAATGCCCACGAAATGACATCTAACTCTCGCGAAACTTCTATTGACTATTTCTTTTCTGGTTTCTTCAGAAATTCCTTGTGTTTACAGCCGACTTTGAATCGGCGCTGTGTTTCGATTATGCTTATGTAAACTCACTTGAATATATTTCATTTCGTCTTACCTTGGCTTTACTTCATTCAGGAACTACATTTTGTCGTGTAGTTTATTTACATCGCTATAATGTTTAAAACACTGTGCTTGATTTGATCAAAAGAATGAACAGTAGTTTAAAATCCTTTGAGATAAAATGTCTGTGTTCAGTTTGAGATGAATACACGCATAAATTTCTGGATATCCAATTACATTGAAATCGCGACAGTTCCCAAGCTGTTTCCACATTTGCAAAATCCTTTGAGATAAAATGTCTGTGGCAATTGATACACCAGACGGAAATCTTAGTTTAAAGATAAAGAGCAGAGCCCAGCAAATAACTTTAAAACCAAACATAATAAATGTAAAAATTTTAATTAGCTAACGTTTCGTTGTCCGAAATCTCCGAAATCTCCGTAACTCGAACGCGTATACATGCACAAACACCCAGTCTCCGCTTCTGATTTCAAAATTCTATCATCAGGCACTTCTGAGTGGGATCTTATCCGTGAAAGCCTATTAATACAGGGTTAAGTTGAGAAATTAATATTAATTTCTCAACTTAACCCTGTCCTTAATGCTAATTAACTAGTTACTGATAAGTTGTTTTCCTTTCTTTCTATTCATTTGTTCTTTCAAACTATGTAACCGTTTTTGTAATATTAAACCATTATTTTGTAAATATATATACCATACCCTGTAAATTCATTTAGATTGCTCTGAAGATGTTGTATTGTAAACAACGAAACGTTAGA